GGCGGAACAAGATGACCGCGTACATCACGGAGCTCTCCGACATGGTGCCCACGTGCAGTGCCCTGGCGCGCAAGCCCGACAAGCTCACCATCCTGCGCATGGCCGTGTCCCACATGAAGTCGCTGCGGGGCACGGGCAACACCTCCACCGACGGCACCTACAAACCCTCCTTTCTCACTGACCAGGTCTCGGCTTGATGCTGCTTTAGGGAACTGAAGTCACAGGGTGGGGAATTAAGTTGCGGGGACGGGGGAGAGCCCTTGGGGTGGGTTTGGAGGCTGTCACCCGCTTTGTGCTGCAGTACGAGTCCATCTGTCCCGTGTGCAGGAGCTCAAGCACCTGATCCTAGAGGCAGCCGACGGCTTTCTCTTCATCGTGTCCTGTGAGACCGGGCGGGTGGTTTATGTCTCCGATTCCGTGACGCCCGTCCTGAACCAGCCCCAGTCCGAGTGGTTCGGCAGCACCCTGTACGACCAGGTGCACCCGGACGACGTGGGCAAGCTGAGGGAGCAGCTCTCCACGTCGGAGAACGCGCTCACCGGTAAGGGGGACATCGGAAGGTGCCACTGATGACACTTGCTGCTTTCCTGGTGTGTTACCTGCTGCCGCTGATGGCGAAAGGGCTTGAACAACTGCAGCAATCCCTTGTTTTCCCTTGTTTCCTTAGGTCGCATCTTAGATTTAAAGACAGGGACAGTTAAGAAGGAAGGGCAGCAGTCCATGAGGATGTGTATGGGGTCACGAAGATCTTTCATCTGCCGAATGAGGTAATGGAGAGAGTCCTTGGGGAAATGAAGCTGAACTTGCTGGCTCCTTCGTGCTTGCATTCCGGCTCTGATTTTGCTCATTTTGACCCAGATGTGATATAGTGGAGTTTTCCATACAGAGCAAACCACCAAGCTCTTGAGATTTTCCTTACCCTGTGCTAAGGTAGCTCTCAAGACAGTTCCAAGCAGGGCTGATTTGCTTTGGCCCCACGTGGCACCTCCCTTATTGAAGCCCACGGCACGAGCGCGTTTCGCTTGCGTGATGGAGGTTCAAAGGTTCATCTCGGTTTAGAGAGCACTTCCTCTCTCCTTCAAGCCTCCCACAGTGTTTCATCATGATAAACATGGATTAAAAACCTTTCCCTTCTGGTCCAGGTGTGGCAACAGCTCCGTGGACCCGGTCTCTGTGAATCGTCTCAGCTTCATGCGCAATCGCTGCAGGTAACTTGTTCCAGGGTTGTGTGCGAGGCCGCTGTGCTCCCAGCAGCTCTGTCACCAGCGTGGTGGGGACATGCTAGCAGGAACCCTACTGCCACGACACTGGGGGAGATAATACTTACTTTAGAATCCTTTCTGTATTCCAGACTTGTGTTTTAAGTCAATTAAAACCAAATGTTCTCCCAGTTGTTGCTGTTGGGCCCTGGTCTATGTCTCTGTTTCCATTTGAAAATGAGCAATTCCAACCTATCCTATCCCTGAACTTCTTGACTTTATGCCAAGTTTTTGTGCTTTATACTAAATTGGGGTAAGGTCAGGCAGATTCAGGTGTGTTTCCTCATTGCATTTTCGAAAGCTGCTGCAGAATGTCTTTGGGATAAAGAAAGAATAATTGGAATTTTCTCTCTCTCCCCCAAGGAATGGCTTAGGTGCAGCAAAAGATGGGGAGCCTCACTACGTGGTGGTGCACTGCACAGGCTACATCAAGGCCTGGCCTCCCGCAGGTAACACGTGTGCTGCTAGGCTGCTGTGCTCAGTCTGAGCAGCTTTCTAAGCAGACACGGCCTGAAGTTGTCCGGTCTCTGCACCGAATGTGCTAGCAAATGCTTTCCAAATGCATCCAGCCTCCTTTCTCATTTGGGGATTGAACTAATTTTCTCTAATGCTGGATCAGAGAGCCGTGTTTCAGAAGGTTCATTAAGAGAAGGGATATTCCAGTGGTTCAGAGGCATGGTCTCTGTCTCGGAGCAGTGTCCACCATGGAGAATGGAAATACTGCACTGCCTCCTTTGCCAGCTTTTGCTGGAAGCTACAGCGCTCCTTCTCTTTGGGGAGAAACAGGGAGGGGGAGGCAATTTAATTTACCGAGTCCTTGCATGGAAAAGGGCATTGCATTACAGAACAGGGTGGAGGGATGTGTTGAAGTCAGCAGTATGCTTTTTTTTTTTTCCCCTCTGAAATCAGTCGGTTTGTGCTTTGTGCTGGAATTCTTTGGCTCTCCTCTCAGGTGTTTCGCTGCCTGATGATGACCCGGACGCTGGCCAGGGCAGCAAGTTCTGCCTCGTGGCTATCGGCAGACTCCAGGTGCGTAGCACTTCTTGCTGCTTCAACATTGCAGTGTCTGGAAAGGCCACGGGATTGACCCTTCTGCCCGAAGGTGCTTGGGCTGCTGCAAATGCAGCTGCAGGGAGCAGCCCTTGCAGGATCTGCCCACACGGCGTGCGGCCGCCCTTGCAGGTCACCAGCTCGCCCAACTGCACGGACATGAACAACGTGTGCCAGCCCACGGAGTTCATCTCCCGGCACAACACCGAGGGCGTCTTCACCTTCATCGACCACCGCTGCGTGGCCACCGTGGGCTACCAGCCGCAGGTGAGAACCCAGCAGGAGCTCCCCGAGGAAGAACGAGTCTGAACAGGGTTTTCCCTCCTCTCCTTTGCACATCGTGGTTCTGCTTGTCTGACAGATCTGATAAAACAGTGCTCAGGGACTAAAGCAGATGTGTTTCTCTTCTACCGGTTGCCCTTTCATTTGCTTTTCCAAGTCCTCTCATCATAGGAAACGTGGGTGGCTCTGGGTTATGTCTAGTGTCAATTAAGGTAGTTTTTGCCTTCACTTGAGTTAAAGATCAAACATAGTTGAGTGCTGTTGTACTTCTCTTAAAATACAGCAGCCGGTTCCTGCGCTCACTTTGTGCTGTGGCAGTGGGGACAGGGGGAGCGTTGAGGGACAGCGGTGACCCACACCAAAGGGGACCCAAAGGGGACTTAACGGTGTGGACCTGAGTCTGCTGGCCAGCTGCAAACTGACCCAGTCTCCATCCCAATTCATTTAAAATTAGGAGCTTCTGGGGAAGGACATTGTGGATTTCTGCCACCCGGAAGACCAGCAGCTTTTGCGGGACAGCTTTCAGCAGGTAAAGCATTTTCCCCACCTCTTGGCATGCAGTATGATACACGCATTTGCAGTGTGTCTTGGCGCTTGCAAAGAAATGAAACTAATTGGAAAGCCAAGAGAAGAATAAGCCTTAGATATTTCTTGTTCTGCCAAAAGGCAAACAGTTACAGTTCTAGTCACGTAATTGTAAACATGCAAAACAAACCAGAAGCACCGGGTGTCTAACTCTTGAATTCATCTTCGGGCTGCTAGTCCAGTCTGCTTTTAGGGCCGGAGACATGGCTACCAAGTGCCTACTTGAATGCCATGCTCCTGTGGCTGAAACCCTGGTTCATCTCTAGGGCCCAGCTCGGTGCCGCAGAGCTCCAAATGGATGTGGTTTGCTTGCCCTGTTGGGGTTACTCTTATTTCTGAGGGCGCTGGACTTGTGGCAGGGCAGGTAAGACTGCCCATGTGCTTTCATGACTCCAAAAAGTAGCTGCTCATGTCCATTTGTCCAAGTAGTTGGCACCAGAAGCAACAGCGTGTGCATCATTTGCTGGAGGGCTCCATACATCTCACCAGTGCAAAGAGATAAGAAAAGTGGAAGCCAGAAAGGGGCTGCTCGGTTCTCCTGCCACGTCGTTCCGGAATCGAGATCTCGTGAGGGAGCAGTGGCAGTGCCAGTTAGTTGAGGAAAATCCAGACATGGGCTTGGAGGCAAAGGGCCATCGTGGGCTTGGCGCGGGGTGGCTCGTGCTCAGAAGCAGGTTGCTCTTCGATGCCTTCTCTCAGCAGGTACTACTGATGGCGTTACGTTTTTTTAGGTGGTGAAGTTAAAAGGCCAGGTTCTGTCAGTCATGTTCCGATTCCGATCCAAAAACCGGGAATGGCTCTGGATGAGAACCAGCTCCTTTACCTTCCAGAACCCCTACTCGGATGAAATTGAGTACATCATCTGTACCAACACCAACGTCAAGTATGTACACGGAAACGCCTTGCCAGGCACCAGCGATAGCACGTGAACCAGACGGGATCTTGTCCCAGGATAAGCAGCAGCCCGGACCTGCGGGAGCTTGGGCCTCTCCCCTCACCAGGCTTCCCAGCAATTTCCGTAGGCTCCAGAGAAATTCCAAAGTCCCCGAGAGTGTGCGCTGTTTTGGTTTGGTTTCCCCTGCGCTGTGACAGGCACTACAGACCGTGCAGCTCCTTTGGCCATCGTAGTTGTGTGGCTTAGCAAGCTGCCAAAGTCCAGCTCCAGCAACACTGTTAAACTCTGCTCACTGGAGCAAGTTCCCCAGCCCTGAATTTGCATTCAGAGCTCGTATTAAGTCCACATCTGAATGCAGCTCTCGGGCTTCTGTTGACAGTCCAGGAGGGCAGCTTTCCCTGTGAGCGGGACAGTTCAGGGCAGAAAGTAAACATTTATTTTCCTCCACTGCTGTAGTTTAGCCTCAGAAACCAGCCCCTGGCTGGTGCTTTGGGGAAGCTGCTGCCGTGGCTGCTTTCTCCTCTTCCCTCCGTGGCTGGGTCTGCAGCCAGGCGAGCAGGAGGCTGCGTTGCTGGCGCGTGCGGGCAGCGGAAGGTCGGGGTTTCCTTGCAGTGCAGAGAGGCCCTGGAGGGCAGGGAGCTCTTCCCGAGGAGCCGGGCGCAGGACGCGGGCCGCGGGCCACGCTATCTCTTTGCCCTCGTTCATTCCACACACGTCCATTGCCACGTCCATGCTGCTCCGTCGCCACGCGGGGCGCGCGAGGGGCAGGCTCGGGGTGCTCGAGGTGCTCGGGGGGCTCGAGGGGCCGCGTGTCGAGGTGCGTCTCCGCTGCGCTTTCTGCATGAAGCTGTTTCACCCGCGAGATCAGGTCCTGCTTCAAAGGCAGCAGTGTGCTAAGCAACCACCGAGGCGAAAAATTGCCTTTCCATCCCTTTTATTATGGGGCAAGGGGATTTTTTTTTTTTTTAACTGGCTTCTGACTATAGACAGAAGGGCATAAAGAACTCCAGCTTAAAGCCCCAAAGCTGCTGGGGGTCCTGCAGGCTCCTGCTCTGGAGTGTCTGGCATGGGGCTCACTGGGAGCTTCGGGGCGGTTGGGCCCCTTGACCTGTCCTAGTGCTTCAAGGCCACTGCAGAACTGGCCACGCTGCCCTTTCAGAGCCTTGGGAAACCGAGCAGAAAGACCCTTCACTTGAGCAGGTCTTGCACAAAAAAACAGCTTCCAACCTTGTCTGAGATGAGTGCGCACTCTTGCATTCAGTAGCCAACTGTTGGCTTTCCTTTGGCGTTTTTAAAATATTTCTTGTTCTTTATTTTATTTTTTACAGGAATTCCAGCCAGGAATCTCGGCCCGCTCTGTCCAACTCCATGCAGAGGCCCCAGCTGGGGCAGAGCCTTCCCCTGGAGATGGGCACGGCGCAGCTGCCCGCGAGGTCAGTGGAGCTCCGCTCCTTTCCAGCCTCTCCTGCCGCTCCGGCCTCCTCTCCCACCCCAGCTTTCCCCTCTGCCGCGCCTGAACCCCCTGGGCTAAGAAATCCCGGTGTAACCAGGGAGTATTCCCTCGCTTGGCAGTGCTTTCAGCTGCGCTCCTGTTACAGCCCCTTTCTATTTTAGGCAGCAGCAGCCGCCACAACAGACAGAGCTGGAAGTGGTCCCGGGAAGAGAGAGCCTGTCCGGGTACGAGCACTCGCAGGTAACTCGATGGCAGCTCGGGCTCTCGCCGCCTGGCCTGGCCCTGCGCTCTGTGGATCCCCCTTTGCTGGGGGTTTAGGGCCCTGCAGATGCCCTCGGCCCCTCTCCATGCTGACGGGGGCCGTTGGCTTCCTCGGCACCCGCCGTCCCGCCTGCCCGTGTTTCTCATCCCAGGTCTCTGTCCAGCCCGTGGCTGCTGCCAGCCCGGAGCACTGGAGAAGACGGAGAGCCTGTTCAGCCAGGAGAGAGACCCGAGGTTCAGTGAAATCTACGGCGGTATCAGCACAGGTAGGAGCCCCACGCCGGGCGCAGCCAGGGTTTGCCTCCACCTGACCTGCCCCAAGGGCTTTTCTGCTCTTTCCCAAGTCGCGTGGAGCAGTTCCGTGTTCCCTCTCTGAGCACAGGCTGTCGTGGATGCTCTAACCCCAGAGGGCCTTAATGCAAAGCTTATTAGAAAATGGAGAGGGAATCAAATTAAACAGGCTTTCATGAAACCATCTGGAGCCCATGTCTGCGTGGGGAGCAGTCGTGCTCGCCGCTCTGGCTGCGGCA